TAACTATATTATAAATCCCCCTTCCCCCGCACCATGAGGCAACATATGTGGAAGGCCTGTGTTCAACAGTAGACTTAAAAGGTAATAAAACGTTTGTAATATGAACAGTATCAATACAAGTTACGGGGGGTTCTATCTCAGTTTACTCTTTAATTAGCATAATTGTGTAGTGGCAGTGTTAGGGAATTCATCACCTTTTTGTCTCGTGTGGCGTGATTGTCGTAAGAGACGACTGTGGAAAATGCTCAAAAATCTCATGAACTGCTGGTTGCAGTAGTCATCATCGGACGGCTAATTGTTCATAACTGGGCCGTTTTATGTTTCTCTAGTAAGTTTCTAGTATCAGGAGCAAGAAACTTTAATAATTGCGTTGTCATTTTATCTACCCTAAGGCAATAATGTAATAGTTTTACTAGCGAAATAAATCACAGAGTTCCGCAGGTGAAGTTTGAAACTAAGCCGCCAACGTAACTCGTAGCATTCTAGTGCGATATTCTATGAAATATTGCTCCCCAGCTAGTCGCTTGGACGCGTTCCATTACATGCACATCATTGCCTTGTTTTATTTATTTATATTTATAATTACACGTTATTTGAGAATTATCCCTCCATTTAAGTAAGTACTGTGGAATAAAGGAACTATTAAAATCAATAGGTTGCGAGATTAAAAAGAAATGTTAGTATACTGTGCTTATCTTTGTTTAGGGATCTGAAGAAGTTTCATTTTTTTGCTTTTTTTATACTTTTCTCTTGTTTCCATCATGCAGTTGCATTTAGTCGCTACTTGTCAGTCGTTATATGTTTTTCCTGGTCCACGTCATCTTCTTTCTTCTTCATTTTGTTTAAGATTACTTCAGAATTTCGGCCACTCCCAATCTACCCCTAATTACACATTGCAAAACTATCCCTTTTTACGTGTTCAAAATATGTTTTTTTACTTATTACCTATTTACTTAACCCGTTTTGCTCCAGTACTACGTCAGTGCCCTCCCTGTTCTTTGTTTATATTAATGACTTACCGTACAAGGTAGGGAATAACCATGTTAAAGTTTTATTTGCTGATGATACTTCGTTGAATTTCATATTTGAGTGCAAATGGTTAAAATATGACGTAGTGAATGGTGCTATATCAAAATAAAATTACAAAACATTTTTTAAAACAAGGGAAAAAAGCGCAAGCTTGTACAACCAGTAACTCGACTCCAAAGAGCAGAAATTATTTCATGGAGAATAGAGAAGGATTTTGCATGTGTATATTCAGCAAAAGAATATCAGATAATATACCAAATGATTCTATCGAAAAGTTTAAAATATTTATTGCGCAAAAACCGTTTAGTAAGGGCTTATATGAACTATTAAATACTAAACGATCGATGTAGCCCTAAAATGAATAGGGTTATCACTACCGCTTAAATGTTTTCATAATTAATTGTACAACATATTTAATGATTAATTATTATTAAAGAAACAGATCCATTAGGTTTCTTGTTGTTTCCATGAGAGAGTTTCATGCCAGTGGCAAAAGCCTAAATTTTTTTCAATAATTATACTTATAATCAATATCTATATAAAGGTATAATCGGTCACCCCAACAAATCTCTGACAAAGTATAAAGGAAGGCTGTATTACTTGATGACTATCAAGGCAAAACAAGGATAGGACTAGTTATTTATCTTTATAGTAACTTATACTACTGTTTTTCTAAAACTGAGATTCCCAAACCAAGGTTTGCAATATAATCGTTGTGCAAAAGGATCGATTACCCCATATTTTCATAAAAGATGACAGAGGAAAGAGACCAGAAATTTGGCAGCACCCAGACAGTAGCATTTTTCTGATAATAACTCAAAGTTATAAGAACTGTTCTTGCCAATTCGTTTACCAAGCGTAGCAACTATTTCCTCCATCCAATGAATCCATGGGGGAAGCCTTTTTTGAGCACTAGGATTTTGATAGGTTATAATGATCTAGACGATAATGAGATCCTGAAAACAAGGATTTGAGTGATTGGCTTGCTATCCGTGGTAGAACCACGCGGCAGCATTTGTTGTCGCACTAACTGGCTCGAACCCCGGTTTGTGGTACCACGGTAAGTAGAAGTGAGTGCAGGCCGCTGGAGGCCCAATTCCCCCCCCCCCCCCCTTAGCATGGTAGCGAAGTTAAATAAAACACTATCCCAGGAGGTTACCAGCACCTGGTGACGGATAATCCCTCGCTGAGCATCCACGCCCAAGCAACCCTACTCTTCTCGAGCGTGGGTACCCCACGTATTCTGGAGAAGGGGGGAGGGAGGTGAAAATCCGCTTAAGACGAAACCTGCTCGGGGCAATAAGACAAAAGCAACCCCTGCCACACTATCTGTGAATTTCTGCAACATCAGAAGACTACATTCAAACCTTTATGCCATCTACTACCATATGGAGACGGCAAAGCCAACCTTGCTCTTTCTAACCGAGACACAGGTGTCCTCTCTGGCTGATACTTCGTATTTCTCCGGTGTTGCCGTTGTTCATGGGCGGCGGTAATTACTTATAATCAGGTGAGTCGCATGCTCCTTTGCCCCCTCTCCTTTAAAAATAGCGTAATATTACATCTTTATTTTTATTACTGTCTTTTAAAAAATTGCGGGTATTCTATGAAGTAGTTTGGTCAAAATAGAGGCTCTCATGGAAGCACTGTGGCAAATTGGTTATCAATTTTTCACTCAACACCTGATAATCCTACGCATAGACTTAGAATATACTGGCGTATAGACTGATATAATGTGAAACTTCCTTATGCCAGAAATGCAAGATAGAAAAGGATAACAAATGTCATGTCTCTGTAAGCGATTTTGAATGACAGGTCGGCACGAGTCGGCACGCAAGAAATAAGCTCCTTAATATTTTGTAGTTTTTTAGTGTAATAGGGGTTATTTTTAGTAAGTTACTTTTTCCAAAATGGTTACTTGTTTTATGAGTGACTGTGGTGGTAATAATAGAAATAATCCTGATAATTGCACATTTCAAAATAAATTCTCAAGACGCCGTCAATGTTATCACACGTTTATTTTTAGTTAAAATTAATGTTATATACTGTTTAAGATACAGATTGTTTTCAATTATTTTGTTAGTTTTGATATTTTGCAAAGAAAAATCTCATGTTGTTCATAATTTGCATGAATTTAATAAATACATGTTTATACAAAATATTTTACATGTACTCTAGGGACTGACTCAACTCAATTGATCAATGTAACCCTAAAATAAATAGAGTTTACGCTACATTATAAAACAACATTATAAAACATACATTATAAAACTGTAGTACATTAAAGATAAAAAATTGAGATTTTATACATTTTACAACTAAGTATCTATTTATCAACCAAATAATGTATAACATTACTTCACCTCCCGCATCTCACGGTCAAACTAGTGCAATATTCATAGCATCACGCTATTTTCCCCAAGGGGTTGCGTGGAGCTTCGGATTATATTCCCAAGTCACAATGATAAAACTTTTAGTGTACTTAGATATAATATATTTGGTTGAAGCGCCACTAGATGCCCGCGGTTCAATGTGCCAGGATAGTATAAATTCCATCGTATTTGATACTCACAACGCTCAATGCCCGGTTCACGCTTGTTGGCAGACGACATTGTGCCGAGGGATTAAATAGTGTATTTCATCGCCTACAGCGTTAGTCGTAGAGAAGAGGAACTTGTGGTTAGGTAATAGCAGCGGGATCAAAAGATCTGCGTGATTAATTTGCACTTGCCAAGGAAAGTCCATGAATGAGTGACCATTTTTTTTAACATACAGAAATTGAGAGAATAGATAGTGCATCTGTATTCTCAGACTCTTGTTGCACTTTATTCTGTTAAGATCATAATGTCTTTAAAATTTATGCAGCTAAAATGATAGTAAATGTATTATTCCTTTATACTTTTCAGGGACAGATGAAAGAATATAAACATGAAGCATTATGAAGTCTCATATTCATATTGGCCTTTAAATAGAGCAATCTTATTTGACTGATTCCTATAAGTCTCCTTACTTAAATTATTAAATTATGAATGTACCATAAGGTCGAATGTTAAAATAAACATATGTAATGTATTTAATTATTAATTATTAAATGTTTGTAATTATAAAAAGAAATATTTTAATAAAAAATAAAACAGCCATTATGTATTCCGTGTCCCAGTTTTTTAATTCCCTATCAAAACATTTAATAAAATATATATAATATAAATAGATATGTACTTAGTTAAGTGTCTACCTATTTATATTAACAATATGTTTTAAAATAAATTCGCGGGAAACTGTCCATGGCAGTAAATATTTTTCTCCAAAGATCATAACTCGAAACATCTACTTTCCGATCTGATCCTTGTAGAGTTTTTTTTTTTAAGTTTATCGGTAGTCACCTGGGATTTTTCACATTTGATTTAAAATTAATTATTTAAGAACTATCATGGTAAAAATTCAGTTAATTTTTGAAGTTATTTATTTTCGTGCACTAAACTGTTTTTTTAAATCTTTTTACCGCTTCCTTAACAATCATTTTCGATAGTCATTGTAAGTAAAATGTACATCACTAGCTAACGCACACAATGAAAAATCAAAATTAGTTGCACGTTTTCAGGCTGTCAGGTATATATATATATATATTCATCTATACGCCAGTATACCCTAAGTGTCCTAATTCTATGGTCCTAAGTAACTCTAAGTTAGAAGCTGACTGAAAAGTGACGTACGGTTTATTTGTCTTTTATTATGCTATAACATTCTTCATTATTACTAATATTCGTTTAAATATTTCCTCCTCGAATAGACGTTATTAACTTTTCATTATCATTAATAAATACTACAAATATAAGACTTACAAACGTTTATTAATCATATAGATATTTAATAAAAAAATTATTAATATTAATTAATATATTTATAGCTTGTATGTCATTTAATTATTACATATGTGTGACACAAGCTAAGTGATTAATAGTTTGAGGTGTTTAACTCTTCATATGTAGTTCAGGAGCATATTTGTATATACATGTAACTATTTCATTGCCGAGTAGACACGGAGTCACGCCTTCGTGATTCACCTGAAACGTTCAACCAATTAGTAAGAAGGACAATTTAATAGGATTATGGTTATTTAGAGAATTTGTTTTTTTTTAATTGATGTGACAAAAGAAATAACAGTCCATTGGATGGTTAGTGTGACTTTTAAAATTGATTTTTGAAATCTAAGACAACTTTTTAATCGTACATAGATTGATGACTTAATAAAACATCCAGATTTGATGGAGGTAGGTAGCTCAGGACCGTATTTTGTGGCATTATAGCCTGGATGCCTATGTTCAGCGGTGGACTTGTTATATGCCGTGATAATGATGATGATAATGATGGTGATAAACAAACTTTAATTAAGCTTCTATAAAAGGTGGCAAACAAACACGTGGCTCACCTGACGGTAAGTAACTTCCGCCGCCCATGAACAACAGCAACACCACGGGAATTGCATATGCCTTGCCAGGATTAAAAAAAGAGTAGGCTATTTACTTGAAGGTCTCTAAGTCATATCGAAAAATCGCTGGTGGTAGTCTATTTCACAAGGAAGTTGTACGAAGAAGAAAACTTCTAGTAAATAGCACAGTGGTGGACCGCCAATCATCCAAATGGTATGGATGGTATCGCGAGTTTTGTCACAATGTACGATGGTGTAATTAAACGGCTAGAAACTAGCAACCGACTCTAATCCAAGGTGACTACAAATGCTTGTCACCATACAAATGGAAACAAAATACCTCACAGCTTGTAATTATTAAGAAAAATATATTAAAAAAGGTTCAAAACTAACCTCTTTATCACAATTCTCAGAAACTGTCCTCATATGATCTAACTGCTTTTTTCTTGCTAAAACAATCGGTGCCACTGCCATCATGAACCCGGATTTTGAATACCGGTTGTTCTTTACTATACCAATCTGTCAATAACATTGAAACAAAAATTACTGTTATGTTATATACTAATGTATGTATATATTTATTTATATATGTTTATTAATTTTATAATATTATATGTTATATAATTCATATATTTATATAAATCTTGTTTATTTGTAAGTTTTTTTCCTCAGTTTTATTTTATATTGCACGTTGCACCTATCCGTCAAAATATATTACATTGTCCCTTTTACGTTCGGTTTGTCAGGTAGAAATCGCTTAAAGCGATATGACCACCGTTTGTAGTTCTTAAGTTTTCCGTAATTGCAACACTTTGTATAAATGCAATAAACAGTTGTCTATCTCTATCTAATGTGAATATAGATTCTGCAAGACAATAATGATCAAATATAGACTCAACATTACCACCACAGCCTATCAAAATTCCACTAGCTGAACATAGGCCCACAGGGATCCTCATAAGAGGAATATTTGCCATAGTTGCCACGCCTGGCAAGCGAATTGGCATCCACTGTTTGTTATTTTTATTTAAATGTTATCAGGAAGTTACTTCTATCATATCTTGTTTCAGTTTCTCTTTGTCGCCTCTTATGGCATCCGCGGGATGATGTTATTTATGTAGTGGCTGTTCTTACACAGTCGTAGTTAATTCCTCTCTTTTTATATTAAATGTTTAGCCGACTTCATAAAAAGGCGTAGGTTCTCAATTCGACTGTATTTTTTTTTCTCTTTTTTTATGTATGATATAGGTACGATATATTAGTCAACTCTGAACCGATTTTCATGACCCTTTATTAATTAAATATATTATACATCAGGGGTAGTCTCATAATATTTTGTGAAAAAACATCCACATCAAGGGTAGAAAATAGCGGATAGCATTAAATATAACAAGACGACTTTCTACTTGTCTTTGTTTTATATAATAAGGGTAACAAAGGAGTACACACTCCACCTGATTTTATATAGAATAGAGTGACAAACGAGCACGACAGCGATGCTGTTGCTTATAGACATCTACATCCATCCTCGAATAAAATCGAAATCGTCAATTTAAAGTGTAAACCTGCTAAATCCTTTCTTGTCGTTATTACTGTTGCGCGCCACCATTAATGTGTTGTACATGCCAACAATAGTTACCACTAGCGCCCTCTAGTGTCGAGTAGCAGAACTAGAAGTGGCAGATCCTTCTAGAAATTTCGGGACCGATATGTACTCGAACATTCTAGATGTCGCTACAGTAGAAGGTTCTGGAAACTATCTGAGGCCCTATATAAGGCCGGTATAGACCACGGCCGAGTCAGGATTGAATTGGCGATACAAGAGAATACTTCGAAGCGATATAACTTTGAACTAAAGTGATCAGTAGTACAATTGTGTTTTATTATTAGTGTGATTTTAAGTTGTAATTGGTTTTGTGTAATTAAAATGTCAATTTTGGTAATTCACTCGGCTGTTTTTAATTATCTCGAACCCCAAGCTCGTAACATTACGTTTTTCCTATCGTTCGAAAGAGAAAACAAAAATTCATAATTAATAAAAAACGGCTTCTACCAAGTCTTCATAATAGACAAAATCGACAAATGAGTAAAACTGTCAAATCCATGACTTTAAAAGTTCACGGCTAACTCCATCTTAATCGCTACTTTGTACAGTTTTGATGGCGATGGCGGTGCATATGAGCTCTTACAAATCATTACTTACTTGGGTGTTAGGTACTAGTCTAAATGAAGGTTTTTGGAATTGGAATATTGCAGAGATTTGTATTTTTATTGTTATTTAATTATTATTTTGTTTGAACTTTGCATAAATTAAGAAGTAAGTTAACCTACAAGCTAAATAGATGGGAGTTAGCAGGTATTACGTACATAATTAATAATTGACTATTTATCTACGTATTAGTTTATTAATTAACATCTCACTTTTTCATGTCTGTGTGTAAAGTAGTTTTTTTGTGATTTTATTCAGGTGTAAAAACGTAGTTGGTTGTGGGCAACAAAACTTGTGTAATACAAGTAAAGAAAGAAGCCGGAACCATCTAAAACACCAATTTCTGAAGAATGGTCTGTAGTCCAATATGTTGATCTTCTATACATAAATTTATCTGAAACAGTAGGTATCTGACGACTTTAGCTCAAACATGTTTAATATTGAAAATATAAGGTACACTAACTGTATTAATTGCAACCGACTCTCATCTTCCATATCAAATGTGGGATCAAAATCAAAATCATCAAATCAAAATCAAATATTGGAAGATATTTTTATTATGCTGCATTGAATAATAAATACACTGTAATTTTTTAATGTCACTTTGAACTAAATCATAAGTAATGACATTGATGATGAAGAAATTCAATTCAGAGAAATCAATTTTACCTTCAAACTCGCCCTATTTCAACTTGGTCAAATTCACAAAAACTGATGAGCATCACTGTTGTAACAATCTCGTATCTGAAAATACTATCGAGTAGTGCACTTTACACGAAACTAAAAACAGTCAAAGACATACTTTGACAGGTGTTACCCATGGTATTGGTACTAGTAATTGGATAGTCAATCCTATCCAACCAGTTCCTCAGGGGTCCGTTCTCTCCAAAACTCTCTTCATGCTGCATATTAATGATCTGCTTATGCTCGGGTATGCAGACGATAACACAGTTGTTGAGAGATATGAACAAAGACCTCGGGTCAGTCGGGACCAAATCCAGTCCGAAAGAGAAACTATGGTAGAGCGTGTGAATCTCACACTACAGGCAGTTTCCGAACGTGGCGATGCCAATCTTGTGAAATTCAACGCCTCCAAAACACAAGCATGTTTCTTAACTGCAAAAAGGAGCCAGCTCAGGTTGGCCCCTTCTTTCCGAAATGTATCACTGGAAAATACCGACTGCCTTTAGTTGTGAGGGTTTGAGATATCCTCAAATCTGAACATCGGGCGGTTCATTAAGTCCAAGGCTAAAGCAGCTGCATGAAAGCTGGGAGTCCTTGTAAAGGTGCGGCGAGACTTCACGCCGGGACAGCTGCTTACTTTATATAAAGCGCAAGTCCGGTCGTGCATGGAGTATTGCTGCCATATATGGGCTGATGCTGCAAAATGCCACCTAGCAGCTTTGGACTCAATGGAAAGACGAGCTAAGAGGCTTATTGGTCACCCGAATTTGGTTAAAACTAATCTTACCAACTTGGAACACAGGCGCAAAATAGCCAGCCTTTCGGTTTTCTACAAGATGCATTTCGGAGAGTGTACGCAGGAATTGCATAATTTAATTCCTCCTTCTCCCTTCCACCATCGAACAACCAAACCTTCGGCCAGTCTCCACCCTTTCATTATTGACTTACCACACTTTCGAACCAAATGGTTCGCCACATCGTTCATCATGCGTACAGCAAAGGAGTGGAATAAGTTGCCAGCATCTGTCTTTCCATCCGATTACAGTGTGAGTGTCTTCAAGGCAAGAGTGAATAGGCTTTTGTTAAGTCAGTGCGCTTTACCATCTTAGGCTACATCACCACTTACCATCAGGTGGGATCGTAGATAAGCGCTGGCTTAGTAGAATATAAAAAATAATAGAAAGTATGGTTTTTTGAAAAAAGAAAAGAAAAATAATACAAGAATGCTTATTACCGCATAAAATTAATTCAGGCTCAGAGTCTGATTACAAAAACTACCCACAAAAAAGCAATAAAAAAAGGGTTCCGATTCAATAATAAAATTGGTTTGCTGAAAGAAACAGAAATTTGAAAAGTATTACGGAAAAAAGAAGAAAAATGAAATTACAAAATTTCAAGAGAGCCTAGTGTAATGAAGAACTAATAATAATGCATATTAAATAATAACTATCGAATTGATTAAAATTTTCCTACAAGATATTTTCCGATAACTTAACTTTCGACTATAAAAGTAGCTATTTTTGAGTACTGAACTTATACTCACAACAATAATAGAGACTGAAAGTTGTGTTCCTAATCTATGTGAAAGTAATGTTAAAATGTTGAATTTAAATGCATAAAATTACATAAATTTGTGTCACCATCATCATCATCATCATTACACCCCTTCACAAGTCCACTGCTGAACATAGACCTCCCCCAAGGAACATCATTTTTTTTGTCCATGTTCATCTGAAGACCTATACGTTGGGAGACACTATTCAGGTCACTGAGCTAGCGTTGCTTAGGTCCTCCAGCGATTCTGCCATAAGGACTATATCGTCGGCAAATAAATTTATTAGTAGTTATACACAAATAAACTTGTGTACAAGTTACAAATAGAGCATAATAAAGAAATAGATAAACTAGAGGAATATTTTTGTTTTGTCCATTATTAAAAACTTTTCTCGATTAAACAAACCTGCGCATATGTCACAAAATTGTTAATAAATTAATTTATACTGAATTTAGTTATCTTTATTTTAAAATAGACCAACTATATTAAAGCGCCCTCCCCCCTAATTAATAAATACTTTTTTACTAATGTTTTTTGTTTCTCCTGTAATTTTACATAATAAGGCGTTAGTGGGTTTACACACTAAGCCTACACACGAAATGCAAACACTTTATCACCCTTGAGCACTAAAATAGAATGCCTCGTTTTCAGGAAAAAAACTCACCATACGATACACACTAGCATTGAGCTGTTATTTTACGCTGGTGTTCTGTGAGAGCGTGGTCTTTCCCCAGTCAAGCCGAACCATTTGTGCTACAATCATGATATAAAACGTATAAAAAATGTATGTTAAGTATGTTGTATTACGTTGTAAATGTATGTTACGTGATATCGTCCAATAGTGAAACGATTTAAATTATTATTTTTTATCGCCGTCGAAAAAGAGGTGTATGTGTGACCTTTGTGTCTCTTTCTGTGGCATCGGAGCTCCCAAACGCATGAACCGATTTAGATTTAATTTTTGTTTTATTGAAAGGTGACTTAATCGAAAAAATGTTCTTACCTGTGATTCAAGAAAATCTTTTGAGCCGTTTGAAGATCATCAGCTCTATTTGTTTAATAAAAAAATTAATTTTACTTATTTTATTATATTATACAATTTATACTTCAGGAGCGGTCCCATTTATCCGTCGAATCTAAAGAAAAAACTCCACCCAGTCGGAAAAATAGGTGTGCCATTTTATACAAAGTTCTAGTTTTTACTTTGAGCTTGTAATATTTCTTAATCCATTCAAAACGATAAGAAAAATTAAATGATTTACATGATACCTAATAGCTTGTGATGTCGGTGCTAAAATATTGTGTATAAAAGAATCAAAGCACAATATTTTATTACTTTTAGTATTTTAAAGTCAGGTCTTACTTTTTATAAAGTCTTTTTTTTCTAGTGCGATTATTATTAAAAATTGACTTGGACAATCTAGTTACTTGAATTCACTCTACAAAGTAGTAACTGGTTTTGTGGCGTTCTCCAGAGAGAATTCCCAAACATAAGTATTTACAACTCTACAAGAACTCGGTATTAATTAGTTTTTGTCTCACCTTTTCTAATAGGCACATAATAATACAGGATGACTTCTCAGGATACGGTGGGTCTTTGCGCAACAACTCCAAATCCTCTTGGGTAGCATTCACATGGTTCATACAAGATTTTGCGGTAGTTACCAAAGACTTCCGAATCGCATTTGTTAATGAATTACCTGCAAATATTGGTACATATTATGCCGTCACAAATTATTGTCAAGATATTGACTGCCTCGTTGGTTTGGTGCATGCATGCAGGAATGCAAATTCCGTGTATGGACATATCAGTTATGGGTATCTCTACCAAAAATTTCTCAGTAGTATCTCGAAGTCAGGAAACGGCGGTGTTCATCCCTGTACCTTGAAAAGCACGTAAAGCTGTTGGTACTGCACCTAATTCTCCCCCACTCGTGGTGAATAAAATATAAATCCAAAATGGAGAGTGCGCTTACGATTGCGCGCACACTCATGCATTATAGGCTAGTGTCCGTTAAGACAGATTACCGTGACCAAAATTCGCTCTAAAATACAATAGGTACTCAATATAAAAGGAACAGGTCCTCAAATTTGGTTTCGTTTTTGACAAACACCATCAGCAAGTAATAAATGCTGCATGCCTTAAGCGCAAAGCGGGTAGGATGTTTTACTAGGGTCTCAAAATCAACATTCCAACGTTTTGTCGCATGAAAGCGTATTTAACAATCATATTGTATATATAAATGAAATAAAAACCACATTGCCAGAAAGTTTAAGAATAAATTTAAAAATGTATATATTTTATAATTTTTTTTATAAATTGATCAATTGCTATTTTTACATAAAAAGTGGTTTTAGTGGCTTATGGTGTGGATTTATCAAGTCCGCATAGAAGGGTAAACACGATAACTTTAGAAAATATCAATTTTTCAACTCAATTTATTTTTATTCTATTCATCTATCATGTGGGAAGCCATGGAATGTACCTAAATGGTAGTTTAATTTTGTTTTGTTTAGTTATAATAAATTTTTTTCGGCTTAGAAATCACGAAATTTTCGGTATTTTGAGCAGTCTTGTAATAATTTAATTTACTAAATAGACGACCTCACTCACTCAGTTGCTTTGCTCACTTCGGCCTCAGCCGCCGTCGTGAATGGATACTTGTGTTTTGCAACGGCTCGTGTTCAAAAAGATCGCCGTATAAATACAAAATATTCAAAAAGTCAAATTCGATACATACTTGATTATTATTATAATCACAGATTTTTATTACAAAAGTTTAAAAGCACAGAATAAATAATAGTACTACGTACTAAAAGTAAGTAGGATGTATATATAAATATACTTAAATAAGTCTTGGAATTTATGGAGTGACCTAAATAATGATATGATGATCATAAGAGAATTATGAGCCGTGCACTTTTGGATTTTTCCCATCTTTTCTTTTTGTCGAAGTTTGACTAAATTGTTGGAAAATTGGAAGTATAGTAATAATGGTTATTAATAGTAATAAGGTTATTAGTGAAAACTTATGTGTATTTATTTATTTTAAAGGACACCCTACAATAGTTACAATATATACTACTTATTACTTTCTATCTTTGAATTACACATTATGCTTATGGAACTACAGATTACAGACTGTCACAACATGATTAAATTTAAAGAAAAATTACAAAAATCAAAGAATAGTTCCAACATATTTATAACGTAAATAAATAAAATACATAACATTAAACTCCTTTAAAAAATTACACATTGTCATGTTATACGTAATTTTTTAATGCGCTTAGGGCATGCACAATTGGATACCAATCGTATTTTTTAAATTATTTTGCCATTTTAAAAGCTGAATCCTGACCCTTTTCTTGTTCTTTCTCTCCTGTTTGTTCTTGTTATGCTGTTATACACCCATTGTTACTGTTATGATTATCATAACCTTTACAGCCGTTCACGAGTCCATTGCTGAACATGGGTCTCTCCCGAGAAATGCAAGCACGGTCATGAGCCTCGATGGATTACAGGTGGCTTAGGACCGGTGGCTAACAACTCAACATTAACTCAAATGAAACCTGATTTTTAATATTATTTCGTCACATATTTTCGTCACTTTTTATTTAAAATAATAAAATATATACTTAAAACAAAATAGCCTTTTATTCCTCACAGTTTAGTAATTAATTACACTTAATAAATTAGACACAAAATTAATATAATATTTTTAAGCGATAGTATTTTAATTGACCGTGTATTGGCGGTGTAAGAATATCCACTACCCCATGTCATCCCGTTGGTGTCGTAAGACGCAACAGAGGGAAATAAATCAGGATGTGGACAGCAGTGTCTTCCTAACAACGACTAAAAAAAAAACACTGCGCTTGCCAAGCGTGGGAACTATGGCAAATATTCCCTCTTTGAGGCAATATAAGGGTGAGACCTATGTTCAACAGTGGACTTTTATAGGCGGTAACCGTATTTTAATTGCTATAAATACATTATATTGTATTAGAAGTGCATTTAATTGAAAATTAATTTAGTATTTTATTTTATTTTATTATGTAGTTTTTTTAACGTTTATAAAACAGTATTGATATTTTTAGTTCACAGATTTGTATCATTAGTATTTTCTTTAACTATTTTATTTTATGAAAGAAAAAAAAACTTAAACTTTATAATCAATTTACATATACCTAATTAATTTTATATGAATGTATTGTATTTTATTTTTCTTTAGTAATTATTTAATATTGTATGTATATAATTTTGATTTCGATTATAACATATTAAGCATGATATTTGAGGAACCCTCTTCGGGTAAAGGTCTTGGTACATGCAGTTTTCGCCGCTGTTGGCTACAGTCTCATCGACTTATCTTTCTTTTGGCTTGCCTTTTGCACGTTTCTGCAAACCTTTGCAGAAACCTGGCCTTTGCCACTCTGTCATCGTGTTTTTTAACGTTACTTTATTAAATGTGTTATTAGAAATACCTAAACATTAATACTGACAGTATTTTACCGTTATTTTTAAGCTTATTTTTCGAGGATATATGAAACATATAAACACGTTTTGGGGCAGCTTCTTTAAGCCTGAAATAAGAAGCGGCCTGTGCCCAGCTATGAAAAGTCTATAAGATTTGTTATGGTAAATATCTTGCTCCTCAACTTACTTAGGACTTACACCATCAGAAGTTACAGCACAGGCCAAACCACGAAACCCTTCTCTTTCGGAGAGTTTCAATAGTGCTAGATTTAACGATCGGACCTGGTACTTGCATCTATATATTTGTGGAGAAAAGTTGAAAGACCGTCAATTCTCAGTTTTAGGAAATATATTGGCCTTTGTCCTTCAACAGTCAAGTCTAAAAAAGTTTCTTTTTAATAAAAGTAAGGGTGATATACAAGTTAGTACACAGTCCACTTGATTTTAAGTGTAACCTATTAAATGGGTACTACTGCTCATATAAATATAAACAGACACTTTTTTATTCAATATAGATTATAAATAATATTTTTTGCAAGTCACACATAAGTGCTATTTACCACTGATTCGGAAAATAATAATTTTTTTTTTTTTTTATAGGAGAGGGGGCAAACGAGCATGCGGCTCACCTGATGGTAAGTGACTACCGCCGCCCATGAACAACCGCAACACCAGGGGAATTGCAGATGCGTTGCCGGCCTTTTAAAAAGGAGTAGGCTCTTTTCTTGAAGGTCCCTAAGTCGTATCGGTCCGGAAAAATCCCTGGTGGTAAACTATTCCACAAGGAAGTTGTGCGAGGAAGAAAACATCTTCTAAATCGCACAGTGGTGGACCGCCAATCATCCAGATGGTGTGGATGGTATCGGGAGTTCTGCCGCGATGTGCGTTCGTGAAATTTGGCGGCTGGGATTAATCCGAACAATTCCTCAGAGCACTCCCCATGGTAGATGCGAAAGAAAATGCAAAGAGATGCAACATCTCTTCGCAGTGCCAATGAATCGAGCCGATCGGAAAGGGCTCGGTCGTCGACGATTCGAGCCGCTCTGCGCTGGATGCGGTCAAGTGGAAGGAGCTGGCACTGGGGAGCCCCTGCCCAGAGATGGGAACAGTATTCCATGTGAGGCCGAACCTGCGCCTTGTAAAGTTGCAGGCGGTGTGCCGGCATGAAATACTGTCCCGCTCTGCTGAGCACGCCAAGCTTTTTAGAGGCCAATTTGGCCTTCTCTTCCAAGTGACCACGAAACTGCACGTCACTCGATATGTCGACTCCGAGGATACCGATACTGGCTGAGGCAAGAAGGGGAGTGCCTTGAAACTGAGGAGATACGACAAAGGGGTTCTTTTTAGCGGTAAACGCGCAAACTTGTGTCTTCTGAGGATTAAACTGGACTAGATTTAGTCGCCCCCAATCCGAGACTTTGTCCAGCAAAGACTCGACTTCAGACACAAGTTTGTTCCGGTACTCGGCGACGTTTTCCCGAGAAATATTGGCCCGGCCGGTGTATAGAGCATCACCAGTGCTGTCATCCGCATAGCAATGAATGTTACCAGTTAGCAACATATCATTGATATGCAGAAGAAACAGCGTTGGTGATAGCACACAGCCTTGTGGAACACCAGCGTTAATAGGCTTGTAGTCAGAACATGCACCGTCTACAACGACCTTGATGCTCCGATCTGCAAGAAAGCTGGTGATCCAATTGCACAATTTCTCGGGAAGCCCATAGGAAGGCAGCTTCGAAAGAAGCGCTTTGTGCCAAACCCGATCAAAGGCCTTCGCAATGTCCAGACTAACGGCCAACGCCTCCCCCTTGGACTCTACTGCCTTCGCCCATCTATGGGTCAGGTAGACCAGAAGATCACCAGCTGATCGACCCCGACGAAAACCGTATTGGCGGTCACTAATCAGCTGGTGATCCTCAAGGTACCGGATGAGCTGGCAGTTAATAATTGATTCCATTATTTTGGAGAACAAGGAGGTGATCGCGATAGGCCTATAGTTGGACGGGTCTGAGCGGTCGCCTTTTTTAGGGATCGGGTGGACAAAAGCTGTCTTCCATGAATTCGGGACTACGCCTTGGGAGTAGGAGTACCGGAAAAGACGCGTTAGGACCGGTGCCAACTCCGGAGCACACGTCCTCAGCACAATTGGGGGGATTCCGTC